ACCATTGCATTTCACTTAGCTATTAATGTCAGAAAGGCTCAATTAAACTAAGTTTTTCAGATTCCCCTTGAAAATAGTCTTCAGAGGTCAATGGGGGCTGTGGTATACAGACAGGGACTGAATGAAGAGTAAGTATGACATTATTTTTCAGTGATGTGCCAGGCATATGAATTATTATAGTGGCTTGAAAGAAGACTACTTTATCTAAGAATCTTTACAATTCCTCTCCATTCAATGGATTTTTCAGTGTCACCTATAAAACATTTCAAACAAAAAGGGCTACATTGTTAAGTACCCCAAAGAATCAAATTTGGCAACATAGACTTGGCTTTTCCTCTCATATAAAGTATAAAGTTATGAATACAGACTGATTTAGTTTAGACTTACTTCTTGTCAGTCATCTAATCAATAAAACACCTTTTATACAATACAAAGCATGTTGCAGGTGGAGATGACATTAAAAGCTGGCTAAAATACTAAATTTTATAAGACTTAAAATCTAGTGCCACAAGAAGTCCAGAAGATTAGTTATCATGCTCTTTGGGTTAATTGGGCCGAAATGTTTGCTTCTGAGAAATATGCAGAAGGGCCACCCAGTCATTAAACAATCTTAGCAAATGCACATGCTGGTCAGAATGGTCCTGTCTGAATAAAATACTTAAGACTCACATGTGGCAAGAAAACATCCTCCAGGAGAGCCATGTCATTAGAAATGTACACTTCAGTTACTGCTGATCTAAAGCACAATACTTATTACAAGGGGAAGATATACATATTAGTGGAAACCATGAACTTGCCTTAAAAATCTAAATTTAGAAAATCCATCATAGATGAAATGTGGGTTCTGTCAGTCATTGGCCATTTATCCCAGATTAGTTTTCTGTTTCAAGAAGAAAAATAATCTATTCTAAATATTTTCTTAATCAACTTCCTCTTTGCGGTTCTAGTCACCTATTAATCAGTCCTCTGTTTATCTACATCTACCTATCTAAAACAAATATTTATTGAAGGTATACTATGTGCTAGCATTGTTCTAAAGCCTGGGATTCCAGTAGTGAACTGCACTAGGTGCCTATACTCATTCTAGAGAGTTAAACAGACAATAAAAATGTAATCAAACAATAATTTCAGTATTGATAAGTTGTATGAAGAAAAATAAAGCAAAGTAGGAGGAGATAGACTATTTTGAATAGAGTCATCAGGGAAGGCCTTCTTAGGTGGGTAGGTTTCATTTGAGCAGAGGGTTCTTTCTTGCTCTCCCTAATCTATCATTTTGTTGTTGTTGTTAGCTGAGCACTTCCTGTACAGTGCTGATTCCTGGCTCTTCTCTCTCCCTCCTACAATTTACTTTTACCAGGTTTTGCATCTCAGAAAGAGTGAGATAGGAGGTAAAACGTGTGTGTGACAGTGTTGTTATTGCTGACAGCTCTACAGAGAGGTTTGGTTCAAAAGAAGGCTGACAAGAATGGATAAAATGAGATATTCTTGGATTCTAATGATGCGCTTTTTCTATGCTACCCTGGGCTCATGTATCAATAGATAATTGAGAGTTGCCTGGTTTTCTGAGTGATCTCAGTCTATGACAGGCTCTGGGTTTATGTCTAATATTGGTCATCTATAATACACAAAATATTTTAGTTTAGTAATTCATTGTAACTTGTTCATCTCTAAATTTGCTAGGAAGTCATCTTGAATCTTCAGCAATGAATTTGTACAGATGGTCTCTGATTTACAATGCTTTGACTTACAATTTTTTCAGCAACGATGGTATGAAAGTGATACCCTTTAGTCAGCAGAAACCATAGTTCATATTTTGAATTTTGATCTTTTCCTAGGCCAGGAATATGCAGTACTATACTCTCTTGTGATGCTGGGCTGCAGTAGCGAGCCACAGCTCCCAGACAGCCACGTGATCATGAGGGTAAACAACTGACAGACTTACAACCATTCTGTACCCATACAGTCATTCTGTATGTGAATTTCACTACAGGATTCAATGAATTACATGACATCTTCAACACTTTGTTATAAAGTAGGCTTTGTGTTAGATGATTTTGCCCAACTGTAGGCTAATGTAAGTGTTCTGAGAACGTTTAAGGGAGGTTAGGCTAAGCTATGATGCTCAGTAGGCTAGATGTATTAAATGCATTTTTGGCTTAGACATTTTCAACTTAGAATGAGTTTATTGGTTGGTAACCCAATCCTAAGTCGAGGAAGATTTGTACTTTCAGACTTCCTTCAATTAATAAGAAAAGTGAATGTATCTATTTTACATACTGTATATTTTCTGCTGATATTAATTTAAATGAAAATAAATTGTTTCCTAATTCCCTGATTCACGTAACAAGGACTATCACTAAATTGATGGTAAAAACTTTACACAACGTAACAGGCTCAAAGTACTGTTTACCTAGCATGGTGATGCCTCCTAACGATAGGGTGAAGGCCTGTGGGAACATCTTAGATCTAAAAGAAGTAGTTCCTTGCAGTTACAGAGGCAGAGAAAAACTCTCTCAATATTTCTAGAGAGAAGGAGAAGGAACGTAGAGTTTCAGACTCTCAGAGTCCTCAGAAATACATACACAACAAAGAATTCTTGTTTCATCAGAATTTTTCTTGGGAGGCTAAATGATGTTCTACAGCTAAAATCAAAAGTCAAATGTCTGTCTTACGGGATTCTCTCTACATGCATCAGGACTCAAGAATGCTTAATAAATCAAAGAATGTTTCCTGGAATCAAAGAAGCTTGGAGTAGGAAGAGATCTTAAAAATCACTAGTCCAACTCTCCATTTAAGTCTCGAATCACTGTGCAACTTCCCTGCCATACAATATTCAGACTCCAGTAATGGAGACCTTATTTCTTCTTAAAATAGTGAATACCTTTAATGGAAGGCTACACAACTGGTAAAACACCCTCCCCTGTTGAATTAAAATCTATTTCTCTTTAACTTCTATTTAGCAGAAATTGAACCACACTTTGGAGGACTCATTTAAATTTTCTGTAACATTTGGACTACACACAAACATTTTCTGGAGCCATAATTTAGATTTTAGACCCATAATTTAGATTTTTGGAAGGCATGGTTGGGGCAAGGCAGGAAGAACAAGTGGTTTTAGTCTTGTGCTCCAATACAGAATTTCCCAAAGTCCTTCACCAACAGTTATTGAGTTTTCATGTGGAGCTGTCCATAAAATGGTTCTTTAATTTCCATTCTGCTATTGTTTCTTGTGTATTGCTCCCTCAATGACCACAAGTGCTAGTGAAGGTTGCTACCTCAAACATAATCTAGCCCAACCTTTTTATTTAACTCTAGTGGAAGGCAAGTTCTCAAGAGGCTAATTCTTAACCAAGGTTACATAGCCAATTTATTGCGGAGCTGAGACTAGAGAATCCATGTCTCTCAATCACTGGTTCAGTATGCTTTGCAGTGGTGGAACCCTGAGACTAGCAGTTCAAACAGCTCAGCATCAACTAAACCTTGCTCTCTGCAACCTAGTCCACTTTCTGCTGGCAGTTTATTAAACAAATGATTGAATAAACGAATGATTGTGGCTTGTTTAACATATATGCGCATGAAGGTGACTAATTTGTTTCATATTAACTTTTAAAAACACATTTAAATATTATCATTCTATAGAAAAGTATAGAGAATAAGAATCAATATGGTCACCGCATAGCTTTATGAATTTGCTTCAGATTAGTAAGACATAACATATTACAGATACATTTGAAGCTCCCTGTACATCACTCTCTAATATATTTCTCCTACCTCCATCCCTAAATTTCTTGTTTGTCATTTTCCTCAGACTGGATTGGTGAGGAGTTTCAAAATGGGCTTTATGTTTTAAGCAAACATCGTAAAATAATATTTTACTATACTGAATAGGGGCTACACAGGTGTTTGTCCTTAAATTTCCATTTAGGCACAGGTTTTGGCTCTATTTTACATGTCATCATCACTTTGTCTATTTCTGCATCAATTCACATCACATTAATTACTATAGTCTCATGATAACATTTGGTATCTGGCAAGGCAAATCCTCCCATATTTTTTAAAATCAGTTTGACTTATTTTGGTTCTTTGTTCTTCATTAACTTTAGTATATGCTTGTCAAGTCCTATGAAAAACTCTTGTTGAAATACTGCAGTGGCTTTAGAGTTTAAATTGAGAGATAAATGCCATCTCTACGTTGGTGAGTAAGCCCATTTTGGATATGGTCTATTGCTTCATTTATTCACATCTTTAAAAAATGTTTTGTAGGTTTTTTTCACGAAGGTCTTTCATATTTTTTATTATATTTATGCCCAGGTAATTTATAGATCTGTTGCTATTATGAAGGAAGGGCATATCATATATAATATGAGATGGATATACAGGAATGCCATTGGTTTTTGTATATCAATCTTATATATAGCAACTTTGCTAAACTCCTTGTTTGTTGTTTCTTTTAGATATTCTATGGATACAACCTTATAGACAACATGTAATTTCAGTTTGTGTCTTCCTTTTCAACCATTATGCCTCTTGTTTCTTCTTATCCGATTGCATTGGCCAGAACTCCAGCATTTTTTAGTATAAGTGGTGATACATATTTGCTGTACATTTTACATAGATAATTTTATCAGTTTAAACTCCTTATCTTCAATTCATAGCTTATCAACGGTTTATTTTTTAATCTTATGAGTGTGGAATTTTATCAAATGCATTATAAGTACCTACTGAGATAATTACATAGCTTTTCTCCTTTAATCTTTTGATACTAATAGTTTTCCACATGTTGAAACATTCTTGTATTCCTATGAGAACAACCAGTTAATTGTTTTTATTTTTTTAATTTTTTTAAAAGATTTTATTTTTTTCCTTTTTCTTCCAAAAGCCCCCCGGTACATAGTTGTATATTCTTCATTGTGGGTCCTTCTAGTTGTAGCATGTGGGACGCTGCCTCAGCGTGGTTTGATGAGCAGTGCCATGTCCGCGCCCAGGATTCGAACCGACAAAACACTGGGCCGCCTGCAGCAGAGCACGGGAATTTAACGATTCGGCCACGGGGCCAGCCCCCAACCAGCTAATTTTTATGGCCCTATGAATTCTGGTATTATCAGCTGGAAGTCTTGGTTGGGACAGGATTTTCAAAGTAAAACCCACAACGTATGAATATTGCCATTAGAGATGAAGTGGTACATCTTAATGTAGGCGTTTGTGTGTACATATGGATACACATAAATTTACGTAAACACATATATCTAGTCACTTACACATAAATAAATACATACATTCACATTTACACACATACATATAGAGCAGAATATAGAGAAAGGTACTTATACTTTGTCCATTTTATTTCACGACAATCACTAAAATTCTCATTGTTAGTAACATTGAATTCTAACAAGCATTTATAATAACCATATATTATAATGTGTAGCCATGAGAAAAAAAGTGAAGATCTACAGAGTTTTAAATAAGCAATATTATGAACAACATTCATTTTGGCTAAACATCATAATGCCCTCTTAGGAATATTACTGAAAATTTTTAAAGCTCATTTTCTCTTTAGCCATCATGAGTTTAGAGTGAAGTGGCAATGTAGGGAGGAAAAAAAAAACCTACCATAAATGCATTTGAAAGTTTTTTTATGTGGATCTACATAGTGTTGCTAGGGAACATGGATTCTTAGCATTTGAAAACCTAGAAAACCAAGCCTCTTACCTCTTTTGGCCATGATTTCTATGTCAGGAATCTGATTTAAGATAGTTTGGAAATGAGTTATCTTCAAAATATTTGGATATTTACGTTTTATCATCAACCTTCCTAAAGAAATAATTATATGTGTTCATCTAATGCTTCGAAAAAGGAGAATATACAATCTATTATCTTTCATTATTGGGATGCCATATAGCTATGAAATATCAGAATAGTGGTTAAGAGTATTGTGATGGTTAATTTTATGTGATAACTTGACTGGGCCATAGGTTGCCCAGATATTCGATCAAACATTACCCTGGGTGTTTGTGTGAGGATGTTTTGGATGAGATTAACATTTATATTGGTAGACTGAGTAAAGCAGGTTGCCTTCTGTAATGTGGGTGTGCCTCATCCAAACAACTGAAGGCCTGAATAGAACAAAAAGGCTGACCCACCCTCTAGTAGGGAGAATTCTTCCTGCCTAAATGCCTTCAGACTGGGACATCAGCTCTGTTCCTGCCTTCAGACTGGAACTGAAACATCCATTCTTCCTGGGTCTCGAGCCTGCCAGCCTTTGGACAGGAACTACATCATTGACTCTCCTAGTTCCCAGGCCTTCAGATTTGGACTAGAACTAAGCCATTCATTCTCCTGGGTCTCAAGCTTGCCAACTCACCCTGCAGATCTTGGGACTCATTTGCCTCCAGAATTGTGTGGGCCAATTACTTACAATAAATTACTTTCTTTGTCTATATATGTGCATCATATTAGTTCTGTTTCTCTGGAGAACCCTGAGTAATACAAGTATAAACTCTGTAGTCAGATTACCTAGGTTTGAATCACAGCTCTGTCACTTATTGCCTATGTGACTCTCAGCAAGTTTCTTAAAATCTCTGCTTCAGTTTCTTCATCTTTAAAAAAGGAAAAATAATAGCACCTATCTAACGGAGCTCTGTGAGAATTAAATGTTATTACATTTAAGACACTTAGAAGAATGCCTGACCCATAGTAAGTGTTCAATAAACATTATCTACTAATAGTGTTGTGATTATGGTGACGGCTGTCATTTATCTATCAGAAAATATATTTTCAGACAGCACGATTACAAATTCCATCCTTTCTTGGCTCTTACTACTTCTTAAACAAACATAAATTACTCTTGCCAATGTTAAGAGATAAATAGCCCAGTGAGGAATTTACAATACCCTGCTAAATGGGCTTCCTATAACATTGCCAGGAACCCCAGAAAATAGAAAAAAAAATATACAAAACCAGAAAGAATCAACTGTAGACTATGTGGGTAAGTAGAGGCATCCATGGAGTTAAAGAGAAAGGGTAACTCTGGAATAAATGGGGCCACTAGACATATCTCTTAAATGTGTTCATATCAAAAAAAAGGGCATACATATGAAGGTATAAAGTATGTATATTTTCCTAAGCTTCATAAAAACTTCTGGGTATGGAGAGAGATTGATGTCACAGTCAGACATCAGAACAGAAGTAAACACCAGTGGAATTTAGAACTGGAAGTAAAGAACAATTCTGTATGCAAATTGAAACTGCCAGGGGGAACCTAGGTAGGTGGAATATAATTACTCAAACCAGAAAGTGCTCAGGGTGCTGGACTAATAATCTGCCCACATTTTCAAGAAGTGCCAGGCATTTTTGAATGGTCAAAATGTTCAGAAGCTTTTCATTAGATTTTATAATCATAAAATATTTTAAAAGTATATGCAATATACAAGTAAGAACCATACCAAAAATAAGAGTAGTTGACAGAGGAAGAGAAACATGGTACTTTCTATTGTTATATAAATTTCATCTTTTTATAATGTTCAAGAGGCTTATACTTAAATAGAATGACAGAAATGAATGATTCCCTTCCTCATGGGTGCAAATTTTTGAGCATTATTTTTTCTTCAAAGCAAGCTACACTATTCCACTCCACATTGAAAGAGAAAATGAAAAAGGTATGATAATGAGTTTTATTAGAGAGCATACTTGAAGCATTTGGTGGAATTTTGACAATGGCATCAAAATAAAGCACAGGAGAGATTCCTACAGTTTTCTAGGCAGAAGGCTATCTGGCTTAAATGAGCCATTTTTTGAGCCATTAGGTCTGCCCTTCTGTAATGAATGCATCTTTTTGCACCAAGGGCTATCTGTTAGGGCCAGGAGGTAGGAGTCTTAATCTTCAAAGAAGTAATGTCAGAAATGTAAGCTAATAACAAAAGACATTGGTAACATCTAGGAACTTACAGGCAGTGGACAACATCATACCTTTCATTTTATAATGTGAAGCTGTTCACTCTTATTACCTGCTGTTCTCAAATGATGAGTTGGTAACAAGAACCCCTATATGGTACCTGCATAGACAGTGGTGACATAAATGTTTGCTTGTTTCAAACTGTCACGTTTTAGATCAGTCTGTTCCAAGTTACAGTGCGAACAGTAAGTCAGCTTGTCTGACTTTTCATGAGGTGCTATTCCGAAATGACTACATAGACCAAATTTATATTCATCTAACCTTCACCAAGGAGCCTTTCTATCTTTTATTAACATTGAATAAACTAACACATTATACAACACACAGAAGAATAAAGATTAACCTAATGAATGAATGGATAGGTAAATATTTTTATCACAGACAGGTCAAGGGTACGTGTATTTAGGAGCCTCCACAAGACTGTTTTTGGTTTCTATGTAATTGGACAGGCCTATAACATTAATTTTGGATCTCAACCTACCCATAGGGAGTAAACCTAAAGTTTTTGCAAAGTATCCTCATCTACTTTTACCTCTTCATGTCTTGCTATTCCCTGCTATGAGCACCATATGATCCAACCATATCAAATGATTTACAGTGCCCTGAATGCACTCAACTATCGCCATGTTTACACCTGACTTCTCCTCGGCTTGGGTTACTCTTCCTCTATACTATCTACCCAGAAGAGTTTACTTATCCTTTAAGATTCAACTTAAGTGTTAGCTCACCTATATAACCTCTATTAACCTCTGGACAGAGTCAATCATCTCCATTAGCCTTACCTACTTCTATTATAGCAAGTGTCACTGTACTGTGATTACTTATTTACCTCCACTAGATAGGAGCTCCTTGAATGAAAAATACATAACCCCTATGAGTAATTAATCTTTGCATGACATTCACGTAGCCATATTCCTTTTCTGACTATCATTTCACTATCAAGAGTTGAATTTAATGGCCAAGGATTTTCATTTCTTGCAACTCTACTCCTTCCACCAGCATGGATTCCTGACATTGTTTCTTCCTAACCCTAACAGGAGCTCAAATCCAGTACTGACTTGCATGTGTCTCAGCCATGAAGTATGTTGAGTAGAGCTATGTTTTGCTTTCATGTTTTATTTAAACATGCTACTTGCTTTATTTTTAACTTTAATGAATGACACTTGCATTATTTGTCACATTTGGACTAAATAAATTATCTCATTTTGTCTGGCCGAGCTAAACATTAAGGCAACTTATTAAAGCTGTGGAGATAAATTTTCTTTTTAGTACGAGTGACATGGAATGAGGAGAACAGGAACTCTGCAGAAAGTGAGCTATTGACTGTCTCTCTACAAAAGCAGAAGTTAAAGTGTGGGTAAGAAGTGGGAATGAAGGCTTCAAAGAATAGGTTGCAAAAGCAGTGAACTGGAAGCAAGTGATTTAGATCCTTATCTTGCTTTGCCTCTAACTTCCTGTATAACCTTTTTTTTCTCTTTGGGCCCCATTTTCCTCATTTGTTAAGTGAGGGGATTGCACCTGTCTTTTGTGTACTACCGGTACAATTTTTGCAACATGTACACACAACTAGATTAGTATTTGCTTAATTAAAAAATTCATGTTTTTATCTTTATGTCACCACTATAAATGATGTTAAGCAATAAAATTTACATAATCACAGATTTAATGAGATAGTTTTAAATTTTTCAATGCACATTAAATACACGGACATTAACATTTTTTAAAGTCCATCCATATACACTGAGAATAACAACAGCTAATGTTTATTTAAAGCTTACTGTGTGCTAGGTGCTATTCTAAGCTCTATATTTGCATTAACTCATACAATCTTCACAATATCCATTTTAATCCTGATTTTACAGACAGGAAATTGTGGCACAGAGAGGTTAATAACTTGTCCAAAGTCAGGCAGCCTGTAAGTGGCAGAATCAGGATTCAAACTCAGGCAGTCTGTAGCCCTACTTGGGAAACAACAGATTAGAAGACATCTATAGTCCTTTCCAGGACCGTGCCTCTCGGATTTTGCTTTTCTCTGGAGCATACTCTTCTGAGTTCCTAAGAGTGTACTCAGGTATCTACTTAGCTTAATAAGTTCCTTTCAAATAGAGTCTATGTTAGACTGTGTTTGACTTTTAACCTTTTCATTATCTTTTATCTCCTCACAATTACACGAAATTGTTCACTTAGCCAGTTATGCACAAATGCAAAATCAAATTTTCTTGCATTCCCAGAAATCATTTTATCTAACATTTCTGTAAGAAACATTCATTCTTGACTGTGAAGAAGCTGTATAAAGTTACTTTTTCCCAAGGGAATCAGTCTGTCCCTGAAATTTAAGAACTTATTAACCAGCATTTGATATTCTTGAAAGAAATAGCATGCACAGAAATTCAGAGTTGGAAGGAGCTTAGATATTATCTGATCCCAATACCAAGCAGTAACATATCCCTTCTCAGCCTCCCTGAATGCTGGACATTCAGCTTTTGGAGAAAGGTTTCCAGTAGAAGATCACACTATCACCACCACTGAATGTTTCATTCACTGGTAAGTATACTCCATTCCCTTTATGAAATCAGATATGCCTTTTTTTGTATTTCTAAGTGCCACTAATTGATTTTGATGTGTTATTTTCAAGAAAAATAGAAATTCGTTTTCTTTTTCCAAAATCTGTGTATACTTATATAACATATGATCATTTTTAGTAAAATTAACATATTTCCATACTATAGGACAATTTAGAAAAGCATAAAAATTACAAATCAGATACCATTTCAGGGATCAGAACTGTTGCTAATATTTTGGTATTATTTTCTTCTCAACGTGAATGTGTATGCATGTGCTAGTATTTTGCACATATCTGTTTTAAACTAACTTGAGATTATTTATATTCTCATATTTTCTGAGTGCAGTAAGGCTCCTTCTGATACTCTATTACATACAGATAAATCAATTTTCACCAATATTTTGGAAAAATAGACATCAATAAGGTAAGGGCTTCCACTTACAGACAAGAGACCAAATCTGACCTCCTGCCTAAAATAAGAAGAACAAGAAAAAAAGCAGAATATATGAAATGATGGTTTGCAAGACACTGGACATGAGGAGATGAAGGACAGAAATCTCTGAGAGAGCAAACAAACAAGGTGAGTCCTATGATTGACCAATTTACTGCCTTGAAAGAGTTTCCAGGCTGCAGTGCAAGGAAAGGTAACCCAGGCAGAGTTGTAGACTCTGGAGTTGAGGAGATGGAGCTGAGAGCCTGGGAAGACCAAGGCGACTAGAGTTGTCAGGACAGAGTACATAAAGGAGAGAGCTGCACAGAGACAAAACTTCAAAGATCTATAGAGGGACTACTTCAAGTATTACCTGAGCAACGATCAACGCGGGTATGTGAGGAAATGAACCAATGCTGGGAAAAGAACCACCTGAAAGAATTTATGGTAAGAGACCCCATTGCTCACACAGAGCCAGGAATAGTGCTCTTCCCATCAGCTAGACTAGAATTAAGAAGAGTACACACGAAGGATCTTGCTTAGTAGTAGAGAGTAATTAGCCTTAGATTTAGCACTGCTGTGATCTGGCCTAACATGAAAAGTAAGAGCCAAAATGATCAAACTGTTTCCAATTAATTTAACTGCACCCTAGAAAGAGCTCAAGAATATTTATAAGAATAGAAAAATACCCAGCATCAAACAAAGTAAAATTCACAGTGTCTGGCATCTGATAAAAAAATTACTAGGCATAAAAACAAGTGGGAAATATGACACAATGAGGAGATAAATTAATCAATTAAAACTGATGCAAACTGGTGCAGTCACTACGGAAAACAGTATGGAGAGTTCTCAAAAAACTAAAAATAGAAATACTGTATGATCCAGCTATCCCACCTCTGGGTATTTATCAAAAAAATCTGAAATCAACAATTTAAAGAGATTCATGCACCCCTATGTTCATCACAGCATTATTTACAATAGACAAGATGTGGAAGCAACCCAAGTGCCCATCAATGGATGAATGTATAAAGAAGATGTGGTGTGTATATATACAGTGGAATACTACTTAGCCATAAAAAAGACAAAACCATGCCATTTCAACAACAGGGATGGACCTTGAGGGTATTATGCTAAGGAAAATAAGCTAGATAAAGACAAACACCATATGATTTCACTAATATATGGAAGATAAACAAACACATGCATAAGGAAACCAGATTAGTTGTTACCAAAGGAAGGTGGTTGGGGGAGGGCAAGAGGAGTAAAGGGGCACATATTTATGGTGATGGATAAAAAACTAGACTATTGGTGGTGAACACAATGCAGTCTATAGAGAAACCGATATATAATGATGTACACCTGAAATTTATCCAATGTTATAAGAAAATACGATCTTAATAAAATAATTTTTTTAAAAAGCTGACCCAGAACTGACAGACATTAGAATTAGCAGATGAGGAGATTAAAATATTAAAACACACATTAAAACTATATTCCGTACATTTAAAAAGTTAATAGAAACCTGGAAGATACACAAAGACATGATACAAGCTTCTAGAGATAAAATTCAAAGTCTGAGATGAAAAATACATTGGATAGGATAAAGGGACAGTTAGATATTGCAGAAGAAAACATTAGCAAACTTGAAGACATAGCCAGTGAAATTACCCAAAATAAAACATGGAAAGGACAGAAAAAATATTTGAAGAAATAACGATTAAAATTTTTCCAAATTTGATGAAAGCTATTATTTTTTCATTTAACATTATGTTGCCAAAATTTTTCTTGGTCTCTATAGGTCATGTGAAAACATGATTCCTAAAAACTATAAAACATTCTCTTGTACAAATTTTATGATTTATCTAGCCCTTTAATTATTCTTGCTAATTTTTATTTATTATAATTTTTCATTATTATAAATAACCCTAGAATTAACCTTTTATCCACAAATATTGATTTGCATTTGATCCTTGAGATATATTCCCTGAAATGGATTTACTGGGTAAAAGGATCTGCACACATGAAATGTTAGGTTCTTAACATCTACTTTTAAGCTATTTTTCAGAAAAATTATATATAGATAGTATAGATAGTATATTTTATATTGTACCACATTCTAGTCAATAGATGTCATTATAAAGAAAAAAGGTATCAGTGAAAAGAGGGAGAGAAATTTAGTTACTTTTATAGGTGAAAAATACAAGCCCTTTAAAATCTGCATTTCTTGTATTTTGAATAGTTTAAATATTTTTCATGGTCATTGCAAATGCCAGTTCATGCCCTTAGGCCACTTTTCTATTAGTTTTGAGTATTTTTCTTAGATCAATTTGTATGAACTCTTTATATCTTAAGGATACAGCTCTTTATCATATTTGCGATAAACATTTTTCAAAAGTTGGCCAAAGCTTCTATGTATACTTCACATGATGTAATTTCCAGGGCTATCACCATCTTCTAAACGCATTCACATTTACCATTGTTCCTAAGTCCTAAACTTATGCTTATTTCTCCCTTAAATTGGTATTGGTATTTTGGTTGTAGAATATGAACTTAAGAATCAAGGTGCTTAGTCCTTTCATTTATGACAGAATCCTGTTCTACTTAATCTCTCAGTTTATCTTATCTAACAAGTCTCTTTTGCCTCGTAAGAGAATTAAAATAGTTAAGATTCAATCCAATGGCTAATGAGTAGGGAAAAACCTGTGGTATGACTTGGAAGAAAATTTTCCTTCACCAGGAGTTAGCTTGGTGCTATTCTTGGAAGAGTTAATGCCTGATTTCTAAAATATGTCTATTAGGAATCTAATCAAATGATGCTAGATTTACTCTATACATATATCCGGTAAATAATGGTAAAGGAAAGATTCCTGGCCCGAGTCCAGGAAACACAGTTTAGTTGTGGCTCTGCCACCTCTCCAGAACTCTGTTTCCTTCCCCGCTATAAAATGAAAGTCAAGCTGGATGACCTTTAGGATTCATTCCAGCTCTGAAATTCTACAACTTGTGATTGTTTTCTAAAACAGATTGTATCCTCCCTAAAGAATCATCTTCTGAGATTGCCTGCATTTATTTTAGAAAGATTGGGGGTGGGGAAGGATCAATTTTTAATGGCTGCAGATGTTTTACAGATGTGAAAGATACATGGCTTGTACTGATAGCTGGGTTTGAAAACTTGAGCAAATAAATGCACGGTTAGAAGTTTCCAGCATTCATATGGTGAATCTGTTTGGTCTTTCATGCTTCAAGAAGCTAATAGAAACTGATGCCTCCTTTGAAGCCAGTGGAAGCTCTAGAGTCAGCTAAAGCATGTGCCAGCTTATTACTAATAGAAAAATCGGGTCAATTTTCATCCCATCAGTGCAAAATTAATCAAACAAGGCTATTTTTAAACAGCATGTAAACTATTTAATACTTAGGGTCTAGGTTATGTGCATAATTTGGGGGAATGTTAAATGTATGACTTTGATTTCAAATACATTATTTTTATGCATTTGAATGGTTATTTAAACAATGTATTGATGGATCCAGTGGATATTGCTGGGGAAAAAAGAGCTTTGTAATCACTTAACCTTCTTCTAAATAATAAAATACTATAATTCCACTTTCATAAATTTTATAATTATAATTAAATTATAATCATGTATATCCTTGTGTTTGTGACAATAATGGCTTATATTGTAAGACATAAAATGGTTTTATAGCATGTTCATGGCTTCCTGGAATGAATCTGAAATCTCTGGATTTACTTAACTTCCTGAAGAAAGAGACAATACTATAATATGAAGCTAGATATTACTGAAAAAGTCAACTAGTAGCAGTAAATGTCAAAATTCACCTTAAAATGGCATCTCTAATTATAAATTGACACTAGCAGAGCATTGGCAGTTTCCATGATAGTACATGAATTCACAAGCTCCTGCAGCTGCCAGCCAAATCCCCAGTTTCTCTCCTACATTTGCTTTTCCTTTATGACATTTGATCAGTCAACAGTAAGAACGCTGGTGTTCTCATAAGCCACCCTGCAGTTTAAAATCCTGACTACTGCATGTTCTTCTGAAAGTGAGGCGGGGAGAGCAGCAAGTCTTTCAGAATGAGATCTGCACTTATCAATCACAGCAGCAGCAGCTGGGAAATTGGCCTTTGCGGTGGTGAAGCTGGTTCGTTCACTGGAAAAGGAAAAGCTGCTTCTGATTAAAATGGAGGCAAAACAATTCAGGCAGCTGGAGAGGCTTCTGAAAACTGGAAAGATTGGATTTCCAGGGTTTGGGCAATGAACCAGAGAGAACTTAAGTTTATGAAAAGCAGACAGGAGAACAGCTTCAGGTTAGTTACAAAAATGGAATCTGGGGAGCTCTCAAACAGAGAAAATCATACAGGCTGAATCATGGTAGGGGAGGGAATGGAAGAAAGCCTGACTCTGAGAGCCATGTTGATAGAGAAATAAAGGCAGCAAAGATAAAACTCCGGCCTCTAGCACAACCTCACAAAAAGCCTGCCTGGATGTGTTCACAGCTGGGTAAGCCCTGTGGCACCACTAAATAGTCCCCCTTTCCACTGAGTTACTTCAGCTACTTGTCCCTCCCCTGAACCTCTCACAAGAAATCCCTTCCCCCAGCGTCCTTTATAGTTTTGTCACCCAAACTGTGGTCTGAGGACCAGCAGCATCGGCATCTCCTGATGGATTCTGCGTTAGAAATGCAGAATCCTGGCCCCAAATCAGATCTACTGAAATAGAATACCGCTTTTCCAAGATCTGCAGGTGATTTATACGCACATTAAAGTTGAGAAGCACTGCTCTACAACACACACAATGTGCTGTCTGAGAGACTTTACTATTGCATATAAAGATGGCATAAAGATTATAAGTATCCATCATTTATTCATTCTTTCAACAGATAGCCATTAAGTACAACGAGTATCCTACAGGCCCTATTTTCAAGGAGCTAGCACTTAGCAACCATTTACTGAACACTGTTCTGGGCTCTGCATTGTGTGTGGTATGTGGGTTACAAAGATAAATAAGACATTGTCCCTTCCCTTAATGAAGTCATAGACATACAAGGAAATGGTTAATGCAAAAGAAGTGTTTCAGTTTTAATGATAAAAATAAAATATGCATGTGGCACTGGGGTTACAAAAGGAGTGGTGGG